CTAAGATGGAAATGAATTCTGCTTTTCTCTCTGTTAAAAAGACAGTTTTCTGGGATTGTTGGTCAGTTCTTGATAAGAAAGTATAAACAAAGTTTTTTTTTTCTTTTTCTATGCAGAAAACCAAAGTTTCTATGTTTTCCCTTTATCAGGTCTTTGATTACTTAAGAGAACTAAAACTTCTCAAATATTGGACTCTGACTACTGGCTAGCAAAGGGTTGCGAGGGAGGAATAATCCCCAAGAGACACGAACTGGTGAGGGGGCCGAAGAAGGTTGAGAAGGTTGACAAAGATGATGAATTAGAGGCCCAATGGAACTATTGTACTCTAAGTCAAGAAATATTAGGGCGACCAATAGTTGCCTGTGCTTGGCAGACTTTACAACAAAGATGCCCTCATCGAGTTTCTATTGGACAAGTCTTCCAAAAAGGCTCTTGGGAAGGCAGCATCTCACATTAAAAGCAGTAAGAATGTGACAGAACTAAGGCTTTCTGATAATGCTGCCTGGGAAGGGGACAAAGGAAACACAAAAGGTGACAAACACGATGGCCTCCAGCGGGCACGTTTCACCTGCCCCGTTGCGGGCTTGGGGATGCAAGGCCGGCACAGGTTTTGCTTCCTGCGGTGCTGTGGTTGTGCGTTCTCTGAACGAACCTTGAAAGAGATCAGAGCCGAAGTTTGTCGCACATGTGGGGCTGCCTTCCAAGAGGACGACGTCATCGTGCTCAACGGCACCGAGGAGGACGTGGGAATCGCCGAAGAGGAGGGTGGAGGAGGCCGAGGGCGAAGCTGGGGAAGAAAGCAAAGAAACCCAAGGCGGCAGAGCGTCTCAAAGCCGGGTGTCAGTGAAGAATCTCCAGGGCCCTCAAAAATGAAGACGGGCAAGCCGAAGAAACCAGCCTTGATTCCAGAGAGAAGAAAGCCAGCGCGGCTCCCAGAAGCGCAGCGGCAAACGGGAGCTCTTCCGGGAAAGTCGGGAAGCCTCTGCGCGGAACCCCAAAGAGGTCCGTGGCCGACAGCGAAGAACCGGAAGCTCACCAGCGCCTTTTCACGACTCACAGCTCCGCCCGGCGCTCCGAGGAGTCCGCTCCTGGGCCACCCAGCCGTCCTACTGTTTCGGAAGCCCTTGCGGCGCTCCACGCGCGCCGGCGCCGCCCGGCTTCCGCGGGCAGGTGGCGTGGGCGTGGCTGTGCCCTGTCGGCCGCCGCCTCTCCCTTTGCGTGCTCCCAAACCTGCAGCTTGCTTGTGAGGCGCGGGGGTTCCCGCGGCGCAGCGCCGGCCCTGCCGCCCCTCCCACGGGCTCATGCCCGCCCCACGGCCCGGAAGACGCGTTGGCTGCGCTTTTTGTGCTTGACCTAAAGACTCCAGATTCCTTGGGAAAACAAAACAAAACCAAAAAGCTTCTTAAATATTAAAGGAGCTGAGTTTTGCTAACTATATAACCTTGTGTAGCATCTCTTGTTGCCACCTTGGTTAAGTAGGTAATTAAATATTAAGTGTCATGATAATGCTCCTATTTAGGCCTGTGCTTTAGAACTTTCTGAGGTTTTTTAATTTATTTTTATTTACTTTTTTATTTTATTTTATTTTAAGATTTTATTTATTTATTTGAGAGAGAGAATGAGAGAAAGCACATGAGAGGGGGAAAGGTCAGAGGGAGAAGCAGACTCCCCGCTGAGCAGGGAGCCCGATGCGGGACTCGATCCCGGGACTCCAGGATCATGACCTGAGCCGAAGGCAGTCGCTTAACCGACTGAGCCACCCAGGCGCCCCTGAGGTTTTTTAAAACAAGCTTTCCCAGATTCAATTTCTAAGTGAAGTCTTTTCGACTAATTAGGCTTTTTTATTTGGTATGTTAAGTTACTGATAAGCCTGGTTTGAAACACTGCTAGTTCTCTAATGTTTGCTCTTCCAAATTTAAGGAAATTTTCTCTTAAGATATCTGTGAATTACGGAAATATGGTAAAATATCCCTTTGTGAACAAATTTAAACATTTAACTTTTCTCCCTACCCAAACCCTCGTGAATTCAGAAACTCTCAGTATTCTTTTTTTTCATGGCAATTATAATTATTTGCATAAGTTTGATAAAAATCTGTTCTCCTTGTAACAGGACACCATTGGAAATATTGGTTATACTACCAAGGGTTTGACTGGAATGTCATATTTGAGAGAGACATGCACAGAATCAGATATGACTGGGCAGCTTTAAGGAACTAAGGTTAACTTTATAGAGTCAATAAAGCTCCTTAGAGAGGTCAATGGGATACCCTGCTTACAAAGTCCCCAGCAGCCTTACCAGATGAGTCAAGAATGTCACTTTCTGGCAGGTGCAGGAAACCTCAGGATATTTGGGGGACCTCAAGAAGAGGAATTCACCCAAATCTACAGGTATTACAGGCAAATCTGATGACAAGTATTTGGCTTGGCGTCTGGCCTCAAGAGGCTATTAAAAGTTCAATCTAGGAGTGCTTTGGTGTCTCAGTGGCTCAGGTCATGATCTCAGGGTCCTGGGATCGAGCCCTGCATTAGGCTCTCCGCTCAGCGGGGAGTCTGCTTCTCCCTCTCACTCTTACTCTGTGCTCTCTCTCTCAAATAAATAAATAAAAATAAAAGTTCAATCTAGAGATTCCTTATAAAGAGTTCTAGCATAGCAAGTATTAAAGAATTTATATGGTCAGTCACTATTCTTGCTCAGCTTATGTAAATAATTAGGCCAAGGTTTTTAAAATTGGACTTGTTTTTCAAATGAATTAGTCTCAATTTGGCTATCTTTAGAAATAAGGGTGACTTTAGGGAGAAAAATTATGTTCCAGTAACACACTTTTGTGGATGTTAAATTCTAGTAATGATTATCTTTGAGTGTTTGTTGTTTGCCTATGCTAGACAACTTAAGGTACACTTCAGAGAAACTGTCACAAGAGCTCATGTATAGATAGTCTTCATGCTTGCTTCTCTGTGGGGATAATAACAGGACCCCATAGGACTACTTGAACAGTTGGACAATGGGATGGATTCCCCAACAATTGTATAATTCAACTATCACCTTGACCAATTCTATGTGGTTGGGATGACAAAATTGTTCCTTTAAAGCTGGAGCATACCCCATTCCATGGGATTAACTATGGGCTTGTGTAGCAATAATGGATCAGCCCACTTTCCTTATGATAGGATCGGATGATGCACTTGGGGATACCCTTATTTCCTGGAACAAGTCATCTCCCACTTCCCAGCAATTCCTCCTAATTAGGGTATTATTAAGGCTAGACATCCAACAAAGAAGGCTTCTTGATGCTTTTATCCCCTTAGCTATATTTGTCCCAGGAGCTGCCTCTATTGAATTAAAATTTCAAGTAGAGGCTTTAGCCAAGCATACAGCATCACCTTTAAGCAAACCTCACGCTCAGTCACTCACAAATTCAGAAGGTGGCTCTCTAAAACCAAATGGTTTTTCTTGATAGTTGACTGCAGCTCAAGGAGAACCTGTGCTCTCATTAAAAGAGTATTTGTTGTGTATATGTCCCAAATTACTCAAAAAATGTAACTGATGTTATGAAAGAGTTAAACACATCACCACCATAGATGCCCTAGCTGTAGATCCTTTTACAAATTGGCTAAATTTAACTCCTAAATGGAAACATACCCTATTAAGTACTGCTATATTTCTTGTTCTCCTTGTCTTTGGTTGTTTGACTTTTTGCATCTGTCAAGCAGGAGCTCACCCTATTCATACTAGCTTGGAGACACCTTTAGTGTTCCCCTAAATGGAAATGCCAGAAACAAGATCCCCCCACTCTGTAAAAAAGTCTTTACTCCAAAATCCTTACGTGGTCCCCAATCAGGAGGAAGTAGCTACAGAAGACGACCTTGACCTTTAATCCCACAGATATGGAATGATGAAATTGACAGTGGGGAACTGAAGCCTCCTCTGCCAGTCTGGCCAAACTACTACTCTTTGAGCTTTAGCAAGCGCCCTTAGCCTCATACCCCATGCATTCTTTTTTTTTTTTTTTTTTTTTTAAGATTTTATTTATTTATTTGAGAGAGGGAGAGTGAGAGCAAGAGAGCACAAGCAGGGGGCAGGGCAGAGGGAATGGGAGAAGCAAACTCCCCACTGAGCAGGGAGCCCGATGCCAGACTCAATCCCAGGACCGTGGGATCACAATCCCAGCGGAAGGCAGATGCTTAATCGACTGAGCCACCCAGGTACCCCATACACCGTGCATTCTTTACTAGAAATAACAGAGCATCTCTGCACGTCAGGAAACAAACCAGACCCTGGTGCACAATCCCGGCCACTAAGGAACCAGACCTCCTTGTGCAACTTCTGAGTAGCTGGTATCATCGGTCTGCACCTAACCAAGAAAGGTTACGGACCACTGCCCTCCCTTTACTGATTAACTGCCCTAAACTCCTTTAAAAATCCCTGGGCCAGGCAGAAACCTTGGAGTTGGCCTTTGGACAGGAATCCGCCTTCTCCCCGGGTGACGGGCCTCCTGAATAAAGCTCCTCTCTTGAGTGTTGGCTTTTCCGGCCACGGGCAGCTTAACTTGAGGTTCCCTAGCAGTCTCATTGTGGCAAGCGTGAAAAGAGTGCCTACGATGGTAGCAGCGTAAGTAAAATGTAATTGAATTTGTAAACCAGGCGCATTCTTCACTGAGAGCTTACCACGTGCCAGGCACTGCTCAAGCATTTCCTTAATCCATCTCGCAACTTCCTTAGAGGGTAACCGCTATTAGCGTTCCTTTCTACTGACTGAGGCAGAGAGGTCAGGTAACTTGCCAAGGGTTACACCGCTAGACAGTTTAAAAAGTCACCGTTTGAAAGTCCTTATCTTGCCTCCCCGCAGCAAGGACCAATTAGAAAATGCGCCGGTCAGGCGGCCTCCGCCCGGAACTCATGAAAAGCTCCGCCCGCCCCTTCTTCCCCTTAAGCCGAGTACCAAGGAGACAGCGGAAGTGCCCGGGCGCCCGCACTTCCCATGGCCGCCGCTCCGGTGTGGGTAGCTTGTTGAGGCCGAGGCTGGAACTGGCGGAAGTGACGCTATCAACGCGCGCCAGAAGTTTAGTCGGGTCGGGAAGGGGCGCCGGGGCGGGCGCTTAGGCCGCCTGCGGCTTAACTTCGTTTTCGCGGGCCAGCGGTGGTCTGCAGGGACTCCAGGTAACAGCCCCTTTTGCTTTTCCTCTTCTCTGAGGATTCGCGCAGGGGCGACCCCCTCAGCGAGGCCTTGGAGCCATGGCGGGGGAGACGCCGAGTGGGCGCAGGCCGCGGGGGGAGGGGAGCGGGGACGTTCCTCTGGCTCGTGCCGCCGCTCGGGCCTGTACCGGCCGCCCACCCAGCCCGGCCTCCTGCCCGACGCCCGGTGCCCTCGGCGGGTGTGCTTCGGAAGCGGCTTTCCACCCTTGGAGGGCCCGGGACAGAACAGCCCCGCACATCCCAGAGCCGGAGTCGCCCTGTCCTGCCGTCCTTGTCTCCTTGTCGATGTTGGAGGGCAGGTTCAACGTGGCCGGTGTCCACCTGCTTTGCCACCAGCCGGGGTGGTTTTATTACAGAGCTGTGCTTGAGACTTGCACGTTTTGTCAGAGGCCAGAGATTTCAGGCACGATAGAGCGTAAGGTGTAAATACCCAGCTCTCTGTTTACCAGGCCCTAGGTTTCTAATTTAAAAGCCTAGATAGGCTTCCGTGCGAAGAAGAATGTGCTTGGAGGCGATACAGAGTTGATGGATTCTTTTCCCTTATCAGCGATTGCCTTTTAAAAATATCAGATTTGGTGCTTCAGTTTCCAAAATGGGAACACACTCTGCAAGCAACTCTCTTTTTGACGGATAAGTTAGTTTTATAGGATAAGTTCCGAGTAATAACTAAGTATAGTAACTGCGGTTTAATGGCGAGGAAAGATGGTCCGTCCCATCACTGGGAGTGAGAGATGAGCTCTGAACAACCATAACATCAGGCCCCAACCTAGTGCCTCTACACCTAGTGTAGACTTGAGTTTGCCAAATGGGGTCTGGAGCCACCAGTTTCTGGATAAATCTCTTGTCATGTTTATGAGTGCTTTAAACCCCACTCTCCTTTCTTGCCTCAACCGTAGCAGCGACTGCTTTAAGCTGAACTTCCAGCCTCCAGTTTTATCTCTTCGAATTCATCCACACTTTTGCCAAAGTAGATCTGTTCACGCTGCACTTCAAAATCTTGTCACTGCTCTTTTGCCAGTGTAAGAATGGGTAAAACTCAAAAGCAGTGTGACCGCACTGGTACTTGGTATCTCCTCTCTTAAGCTTGTTGCTTGCATACTGCATGCTCTTTCAGTCTTTGTCCTCTTACGATTGATCTTTTGCCTGAAATTCTGATTTGTAAATTTCTGCTTACCTTGCTAGACCCAAGTTAGACAGTGCGTGCTTTGTGAAAATATTCCCCTTCAGAAACACTTGGCAGTTATTCTCTTTCCATAGCATGTATACGAACATGCTATGGAAAGAGAATGCGTTTATTGTATGTGTTTATTCATGTATGTGTTTATTCTTGATTACGTGCTATGTGCAAATAGAGATTGCGAAGACATTTGCTGGATTCTGCATTCAAGAACTTAGCATAGTACACCTCTGTTATTATAGCACTTCAGTTTGGCAGTAATTATTTGCATACCCTTCAAATTGAACTCTGATGCTAATGACTATATCCTCATCATTTTCATATTTGTAGCACTTCTGTTATAGGATAACAATTTTAAAAATATACTTTTTTTATATCTGACATTTTCTGAAACAGACTGTTCATTTTTTCTCTCTCTCTCTTTTTTGGTCTTTTACAGTGATGGGTATGTAGGATATATGATTTCTCTCATTCATCCAACAAATATCTGAGTGCTTGCTTTGTACCAATACATGCTTGAAGATCATATGTGTCTTTGATATATCAGCAAGTTCTATATGTGACAATATCTTAGATGATAATGTTTAAACTGAAATCTAATAATAATAGCAGCTAACATTTATCCTGTGCTTAGTATGTGATAACTAGATGCTGATCTTGATGTGTTAATCAGCCGGTCCTATTTGATTCAGTCAGTTCTTATAGCAATCCTCAGCAAGTTAAGGATCCATCTGAACGAAACTCAACAAAGGGTCTATCAGTAGTCACTTGGTTTTTTGGTCTAAAAGAAATAAAAAATGTGTAGCCAGTAAAGAGCTGATGAGTTAAGGAAAACTAGATAGAGCACAGTTTATATTTACAGGTTTTAAAGAGATCAACTAATAAAACATGTTTTATTTATTTTGGGGTCTGTAAAGCTTCTATCACAGTGTTCTATTAAATTAGTAGATCAAAAAATGATCACAACAAAGTGTATTGGATCCAATTCAATATTTATTGAACTTACACCCAAGACATTGTGGAGGATATAAAATATCTAATAGCACTGTGTATACAGTGCCCAATAAATATTTCTACTCAGATATGACAGTTTGCTTAGGAATTTGTTTTCCCTGAGTGTTTTTCCCCAAAGGTTTTTAACGTTGATTATGACACCTTAATTTTGAACATTCTAAGTATTTAAATATGTAATGAAACAATTTTTGTTCTATTGACAGTTTTACATGCAGTCACAATAAACATGGAAAGAATAACATTTCAGCATTATAAGGTTAAAAAAATATATTCCTAAATAGCTTCATTGTTTTTTTTTTTCCAGTTTTTGTGTAATCATGGAACTGGTTTATAAGACTACAGCCTGCCTGTGTTCTTATATTAAACTTTGAACTTTTTTCAAAGCAGATTGCTGTTTCTTGGTGTACATGAAGATAACGCAAACAGTTGAGGAAGTTGCTAAGAAGCGCGTACTGGGGATGCTCTAGGAAAAGACTGAATGCCGAGGCGAGTTCCAGTCCAAAGGTATTTGATTTACCAAGAAGAAAGTGAACATCATGGATCAGAACAACAGCCTGCCGCCTTATGCTCAGGGCCTGGCCTCCCCTCAGGTAATACAGCTGGAGGGAGGGTGTAGATGGCACAGAATCTGCATTGTTAGAGACAGTGTAAAAAGGAAGGAAGGGAATTTAACCATTTATTGTTGAAAATGGATTTATATGGTTTCAAGTTTCTCTTATTCTGTTGAGAAGTTCTGTTAGGCTTTGAGTAGGCATGATAGTGTTAAATTTTGGGAGTTTATTTGGAAGTTAAAATATGTATTTGTCTATAAATCTTAATCTTTCCATAAATGTTTATGAAACGTTGATTATCGGTTCTCTGATTTTGAAAGTAACTCTAACCAAATTATTTTCTGGTTTTATCTTTTTTATGTTTAAGGTTCCAAATAACATGCCTACTTTTATTTTTTATTTTTCTTAAGATTTTACTTATTTATTTGAGAGAGAGAGGTGGGGGAGCGAGAGGAAGAGAATGTCCAGCAGACTCTGCACTGAGTGCAGAGCCCGACACGGGGCTCGATCCCTTGACCCTGAGATCATGACCTGCGCCGAAACCAAGAGTTGGCTGCACAACTGACAGCTCATACCCAGGTGCCCCAAAACGTTACATTTTTTTTTTTTTTTTAAGTAGATATGGTATTTGTGGGGTGCCTCGGTGGCTCAGTCAGTTGGGCATCTGACTCTTGGTTTCGGCTCAGGTCATGATCTCATGGGTCGTGGGGTGGAGCCTTATGTTGGACTCTGGGCTTGGCGTGGAGTCTGCTTGGGATCCGCTCTCCCTCTCCATCTGCCCCTCCCACTCGTGCTCTCTCTCTCTGATAAATAAATCTAAAAAAATATATAGCCTATAAGTCAGAGAAAGGCAATTATCATATGGTTTCACTCATGTGGAATTTAAGAAACAAAATAGAGGATCATAGGGGAAGGGAGGGAAAAATAAAATAAGATGAAATCAGAGAGGGAGACAAACCAAGAGATTCTTAACTCTAGGAAACACAACTGAGGGTTGCTGGAGGGGAGGTGGGTCAGGGGATGGGGTAATTGGGTGATGGGCATTAAGGAGGACACTTGATGTGGGGCGCCTGGGTGGCTCAGTCAGTTAAGTGGCTGCCTTTAGCTCAGGTCATGGTCCCAGGGTCCTGGGATCAAACCCCACATCGGGCTCACTGCTTGTTGGGAAGCCTGCTTTTCCCTCTTCCACTCCCCCTGCTTGTGTTCCCTCTGTCGCTGTGTCTCTCTCTGGCAAATGAATAATAAAATCTTAATCCCCCCAAAAAAGGAGGGCATTTGATGTAATGAGCACTGTGTGTTATATGCAACTGACAAATCATTAAACTCTGCCTCTGAAACTAATAATAAACTATATATTAATTGAATTAATTGAAACTAATAATACACTATATATATAATTAATAGAATTTAAATGAAAGTTTTAAATAACCTTTAGATATAATTTTCATAAAATGAAAACACCCATTTTAAGTGTTTCAATAATTGTATGTATCTGTTTGTATACACCTGATCTGCTAATCCATAGCTAAAGATAGTTTTGCCTTGCCTAGAATTTCATACAAACTGAATATCAGTATGTGCTTTTTTGTGTCTGTCTTCTTTCCCCAATATTACATTTGTATGTCTGCAGATTCCTTTTTTTTGCCAAGTAGTACTCAGTTGTATGGATGTACCACATTTTGTGTATCCATTCTCCAGTTGCTGACATTAGGGGGGTTTCTAGTTTTGGGCTATTATGAATAAAGTTGCTGTAAACATTTGTGAACAGGCTTTGTGTATACGGTTTCTGTCTCTCGGGTAAATACTTAGGAGTGGGATTGCTAGGTCCTATGGTAAGTGTATGTTTCACTTTACAAGAAACAGTCAAACCATATTCTAGTTCCCCCAGCAGCATGTGAGAGTTCTGGTTGGTCCACATCCTCACTAACACTTGCGGCCTTAACTTTTAGCCATTCTAGTGGTTGCTTAGTAGTATTTCTTCGTGATTTGAATTTGCATTTTCCTGATGACTAATGATCTTGAGCATCTTATCAAGTGCTTATTGGCCAATTACATGTCTTCATTTGTAGAATGTCCTTCTCATCTTTTGCCCATTTGTTTATTGGATTATTTGTCTATCTTTTATTGAAGTGGAATTGCTCTTCATGTATTGTGGATACAGGTTTTTTCTCAGGTGTAGGTACTGTAGATGATTTCCCTCAGTCTGTGGTGTGCCTCACTTTTTAATTTTCTTTACTGATGTCTTTCAGAAAGTAGAAGCTCTTATTTTTTTTCTGAAGTCCATTCATCAGTTTTACTTCATCGTTAAGTGCTTTTGTGTTCTAAGAAATCTTGGCTTACCCAAAGTCTTAAGGATTTTTTTCTTCATAGTTTTAGCTTTTACATGTATGTCTGTGATCCATTTTGAGTTCATTTGTATATGTGACATAAAGAAAGGCAGACTTTTCAAAGTAACACAACCTGAATGTTTTCTAGCCAATATTTTATAGACCTGTTACATGCAGTAGAATAATGCCTATAATCTTAGGGCTGCAGTATACTTTTGATCCTCCTCCTCTCACATTCTTTCTGCCACTATGTTGGTTAAACAATTTAACGTAAATATCTTAGACAGTTTTGGTTTCTGCTTTCTGCCAGATAAAGTGGGAAAGGATCATGGCTCTCTTTTGGATCTTGCACCCATTTGAGAATCTAATGAAAACTATGGATTCCTTCATGCAGAAATATTGGATATAATTTTTTTTTTTAAAGATTTCATTTATTTATTTGACAGAGAGACAGCGAGAGAGGGAACACAAGCAGGGGGAGCAGGAGAGGGAGAAGCAGGCTTCCTGTGGAGCAGGGAGCTTGATATGGGGCTCGATCCCAGGACCCTGGGACCATGACCTGAGCCGAAGGTAGATGCTTAATGACTGAGCCACCTAGGCACCCCAATATTGGATATAATTTTCAGAGGTCCACAAAGTCACTGCAAGCTCTGCAAGCTCCATTGGCTCCATGGATTTTGGTGTTGGGTGAGAGCACTGGACTGGGTCTCAGGAAAACTTAGCTGTGATTGTGGCTTCTCTACTAGTGAGATCTGTGGTCTTAGGAAAGTCATTTAGCTTCTTCTGCTGGTGTCAGTTTTCTTGTTCTTAATGTGGGATGAACAGCATCTATTTTTCCCTTTACCAAAGGGCTATTTTGAGACTCATAAGTTAATAAATGTAACAGTGTCTGGAAAAGTTAAGCATTTGGAAAAATAAATTGATATTGTTCTGATAGATGCGTTGGATTTTCTTGATTTAAACTTTTTGGAGAGCAAATGATCCACCTTTTTGAATAGTAGTCTAATAATTGTCGTTATTGTTATTAACACTTCAGTGTTTTCTAGTGCCTGTCATTGCGTTGAATGAGTTAAGTGACATCTCTAGGGTAAGCATATATATCATCCAAACTTGGACAGATCCGTTGAGAGTGAACAGGGAACTCCCCAGGCAGTATACTAGGGTAATAGTTTAAACACGGACGGGCAGTCACTCCAACTATTTCCTTTATTCTAACGGTATTAGAACATTATTATCCTGTAGATATGCCTGAAGGGCTAAGCAACTTTCTCGAGTTTTCACATGTAGTAAGTCGCAGGGTTGGATTTCACACCTAGGTATGTATAACCCCACATACTGAGGTTTTACCTACTATGTTATGGTGAAGAGGAAAGTGATATGTGTAAGAACAGCAAATGCCTTTCTATTAAGGCGTCATAACGCCATTTATATTGGGAAGGCATCTGTCCTCATGCCTCTCACCTCCTCTTCTACCACACAAGTGCCAGAAACACCCAATACCAGCTGGCCTAACTATACTGTTCTCCTGACTTTGCACAGGGTGCCATGACTCCTGGAATCCCTATCTTCAGTCCAATGATGCCTTACGGCACGGGACTGACTCCACAGCCTATCCAGAACACCAGCAGCCTGTCTCTGCTGGAGGAGCAGCAAAGGCAGCAGCAGGCCCAGCAGCAGGCGCAGCAGCAGGCGCAGCAGCAGGCCCAGCAGCAGGCCCAGCAGCAGGCCGTGGTGGCGGTTCAGCAGTCGACATCCCAGCAGGCAGCCCAGGGGGCCTCGGGCCAGACACCACAGCTCTTCCATTCACAGACTCTCACCACTGCACCCCTGCCAGGCACCACTCCCCTGTATCCCTCCCCCATGACCCCCATGACCCCCATCACCCCTGCCACACCAGCCTCCGAGAGCTCGGGGATCGTGCCGCAGCTGCAGTGAGTACTGTGTGTTGTGTCTTCCCCCTCGCCCTGGAGGGGTGCCTCGACTGGGTGCTGCTCTTCTTTGTTTTCAGGTGGATTGGTTTGTTTCAGGGTGTAGTACCAGTGGTAATTGTGTGTCAGCATCTGCTCTCTCTCTCGCATGAGAAGGGGATGCTAAGCTGCCTGAGGGATTGGGTCCCCTCAGTAAAAGGCTCTCATAACATCTTCAGACATTTGGTGGCTTGTGTTTATAATTGGGGCCAAATACGTAGACACAAGCTACCAAATTGTTACAGACATTTTCCTGAAGCTGATTTGCTGACTCAAGCCTTATGTAGTCTCCTTCCCTTGTGAAGTTTCCGGTTTGGGGGGAGGGAAAATTAGTTACTTAGTCTTTGTTAGTTCATAGTGGTCCTTGTTTGTCTTCATCGGTTATTATGAGGGCTGCTTATAACTCTTTGGAGAGCTGTGTCCTTTCCACAAGCTGAGGATGTCTGTTCTTGTCCTAAATGGACTTTTCTCCATAAATGAAATGGGTTCTCTATGTGACAGCATTGGGTGCTGGGTGGGTGGGATGGGAAAACAATTCTGGAAAACATAAAATATTCTCATGCGATGAGAAGTACATAGCTTTTGCTTTTAGGAAACGGCCAAATGGAAGGGTCATTTGCAATAACTACATCATCCAGTTTTCTTTTAAGCCACCTCTGGTCATTTTTAGGACTAATAATATTTAATTGTGGATCCTGTTATCCAAATCTGGCCTTGGGTGTTTGACCTGACACAGTTTTAAGAATCAAACAGTTTTCATTTTACTGATTTAGAGAGATAATCACTTGTGAATTCACCTTTGTCAACACCACTCCCTGTTTTGCACGCTTGTCTGGGTCTTATGGGCATTTAAGTTTGCACCTTTGTTTAAATCATCAGTTATAACCACTTGTGATGGGGTGTTTGTTTCTTGCTGGCACCTTAAACTTTCTGGTATTCTACAAAGCATCTAGTCAGCCACATTACTGAGTTTCCATATCCACTAAGAGCCCTTCTGGGTGGGAATTTCAGTGGCCTCTAAATCTTACAGGCTTATGAAGATTTGGGTAAATAATTAATGTATAAGAATACATTTTTAAGGGGCTGGCTGGCTCAGTTGGAAGAACATGTGACTCGATCTCAGGACTGTGAGTTCGAGCCCATGTTTGGTATAGAGATGACTTAAATAAATAAACTTAGAAAAGAAAAGAAAGAAAAGGATTCTGGGGAGATGGCAGAGCAGGGGAAATGCCCTGGACCAAATGGCTTTGGTGAATTCTTCCAGACATTTAAAGAAGAACTAACACCAATCCTCAAACTTTTCCAAAAAAATTGAGGAGGGAATGCTTCCTAACTCATTCAATGACTATGCTGACACCAAAGCCAAAGACACTGTAAAAAAAAAAAATCTACAGACCAATATCCCCATGATCATTGATGGAGAAGTCCTCAACAAAATACTAGGAAACATCATTAAGCAGCATATTATACACCATGACCAAGTGGGATTTTTATTCTTAGAATGCAAGGGTGGGTCCGCATACAAAAATCAACCAGTGTAATATGCCACAACAATAAAATGAAGAAGAAAAGTGATCATCTCGATTGATGCAGAAAAAGAATGGACAAAATTCAACACCCTTTCGTGATAAGAACATAACAAAATAGGAAAAGATGGAGACTACCTTAACATAGTAAAAGCCATATGTAAAAAATCATAGCAAGCCTAATATTCAATGTTGAAAGATTTAATGCTTTTCCTGTAAGATCAGGAACAAGGCAGGGATGACCTCTTTCTCCACTTACATTCAACATAGTACTGGAAGGTCTAGTCAGAGCAATACTAAGAAATAAAAAGCATCCAGAGTAGAAAGGAAGAAGTAAAATTACCTCTCTTTGCAGGTGTTATGATCTTATACATAGAAAATCATAAAGACTCCACCAAAAAAAAAAAAATGTATTAGATATAATAAGGAAATTTATTTAGAAAAGTGGCAGGATACAAAGTTAACACTCAAAAATCAGTTGCATTTCTGTACACAAACAGTGAATAATATAAAAAGGAAATTACAAAAGCAATTCCCTTAACAACATGAACAAAAAGAATAAACCAAGATTAACTGAGGATGTGAAAGATTTAGAATGAGAACTATAAAACATTGCTGAAAGAATTAAGACCTAAATAAGTGGAAACACATCTCATGTTCATAGATTGGAAGATTTAATATTGTCCAAATCTTAATACTACCCAAAATGATCTATGTTTTCAGTGCTATCCCTATCAAAATCCCAATGATGTTTTTTGCAGAAATGGAAAAACTCACTCTGCAATTCATATGGAATCCTAAGGGACCCTGAATAGTCAAAACAATCCTTAAAAAGAAGAGCAAACCAGAGGACTGACACTTCCTGATTTCGGAGCTTACTACAAAGTTACAGTAATCAAACAGCATGGTCTTGGCATTGACACACACATATAGACCAATACAGTAGAACAGAGAATCCAGAAATAACCTTTGCATATATGGTCAATTGATTTTTGTCAAGGGTGCCAAGACTGTTCAATGGAGGAAAGATAATCTTTCAACAAATGGTGCTGGGACAACTCGATATCCGCATACAAAAGAATGAAGTTGGGCCCTTAACTAACACCACATACAAAAACTAACTCAAAATAGCTCTCTGGTGGTGACGACCTCCCCATGAAAGCATGCCTCTTGCGAAGGACCTCCTTTACCCGTTCCCGGAAGAGGAGAAGAGGAAGTACAAGAAGAAGCACCTGGTGCAGGCCCCAACTCCTACTTGATGGACGTGGAGTACCTGGGATGCTACACAATCACCACTGTCCTTAGCCATGCACAAATGGTGGTTTGGTGTGTGTGTTGGCTGCTCCACTGTCAGCCCACAGGAGGAAAAGCAAGGCTTCCTTTAGGTGGAAGCAGCACCAAAAGCACCAGGAATCAAGACGAGTGGGAAACTATCCCAATAAACGGGGCACCTGGGTGGCTCAGTTGTTGAGCGTCTGCCTTCAGCTCAGGTCGTGATCCCAGGGTCCTGGGATCGAGCCCCGCGTCGGGCTCCCTGCTCTGCGGGAAGCCTGCTTCTCCCCTCCCACTCCCCCTGCCTGTGTTCCCTCTCTCCCTGTCTCTCTCTCCGTGTCGAATAAATAAATAAGATCTTTAAAAAAAAGAAACTGTCCCAATAAACAGATTTTGGATATAAAAAAATAAAATAAAAACTAACTCAAAATAGATGAAAGACTTAAATGTAAGACCCAAAACAAAACTCTGGAAGAAAACAGGACAAAGGCTTCACGACATTGGACTTGGCAGTGTTTCCTTGGATGGGACACCAAAGGCACAGGTAACAACAGAAAGAAACAGATCAGTTGGGCTACATGAAAATTTTAAAAACTTGTGTATCAAAAGACACTGTTCACAGAGTAAAAATGCAACCCTCAAGGTGGGAGAAAATGCTTGCAAATCATGTAACTGATAAAGGATTATTATCTAGATATTTAGAGAACTACTAAAAACTCAACAACAAAAAAAGAGCCTGATTCCAAAATGGGCAAAGGACTTGAATACACATTTCTCCAAAGAAAATACATGACTGACCAATAAGCACATGAAAGGATGCTTGACATCACTAAACATGTAAATGCAAATCAAAACTGCAGAGAGATACCACCTCATACCCGTTAGGATGGCTACTGTCAAAAACAGCATATAGTAAGTGTTGGGGATGTGGAGAAATTTGAACCCTTATGTACTATTGGTTAAAAAAAGAGAAGAAGAATACCTGTAGCAATTATATGACTAAATTTGTGGTAGATGTACCACAACTTACTTGATTCAGTTTGTAAGGAGAGAAATGCTAAAGGTAGGTGTGTATATAAAATTGATTGGGAGAAGACAGATGATATAGAAATGAAAACATTCATTGGGTTGATCATTCTAATTGGTCTTACCGTTGTGTATTGAGGTACACAGCTATCCTCTTACCCAACCAAATTGTGAGCCATCAAGTTTTCAGAGTATTGCATTTTGACAGGACAGGAAAAGAATCAAAAGCAGCAATGAACTAGAAACAATTGGGGATGTATTTGCAGTCTGGAATCAGTATTTACAGGACAGTGATGTTCCGTGCCCATCCATGATGGTTTATGGGCAATTAGTTTCATTCAAAGGGCATATAAGGGCTTCACAAAAGGCTAAGGCATGGCTCTAGGGATAGATGGGTGTAAATCCTGACTCTACCACTTAGGAACCATGATTATCTGGAGCAAGTTAACTGTCCCATTTAAGCCTCAGCTTCATCTGAAAATGTGAGTATTAATAGTTACTACTTCATAGTACATTGTTAAGTATCAAGTGGGATAACCTGTGTAAGATGCTCACCGTGGTGTGTGGTAAACAATAAATGTCAACAAATTAAAAAAATTTAAAACTTAAATTGGTTTAAATTAAACTAATGTAATTAAATTTGTTCTAGTAAAAGAATCAGATTTCTAGATAATTATCTAACATCTCAACCTATAAAAGTTAAATAAATGATGTTTTCTTTTCAAATTTCTTGCAGAAATATTGTATCCACAGTGAATCTTGGCTGTAAGCTTGACCTAAAGACCATTGCACTTCGTGCCCGAAATGCTGAATATAATCCTAAGGTTAGAGCAATTTTAATGTATTTCAAACTATAATAATACAGGAATTTATTGTTAAAGGTCCCTAAACCAAAAGATGTCATGCTTATGTTCGTTGACACCAACAAAATGAGGAATTAAAGCAAAATGTGTATCTTTTTTTTTATCGAATAGCTACCATGTGAGAGACCCTAGAGTCATGGTAGTCTACAAGTTAAACTACTAAAATTTATGTACCCATTGTGATGGGGATCCTGTGACATTAAAGAACAAAATATGTGGTATGGTTTCATTTATGTTTTGAAATTGATGTAGAAGGGAATGATACGTTCTCTGGAATTTACTTCAAAATAATCCAGTTGGAGAATTGGGGAAGGGCACTTGGGTAAAACAGGATTGGCCAGAAGTTAATAATTTTCAGAGTTGGGTAGTAAGTACAAGGGAGTTTATTATATTTTTCTGTATTTGTATAACTTTTAAGCTTTTTATAATAAAAAGATTATGAGGTAAAAATACAAGATTTTTGATGTTAAGATGGCAGCTTGAGTACATGGTAAGACTCAGCATTAGTAGATAAGCTATTTTTTTAAAAAATAGTAAATATTTGCATTCACAAATGAGTGGACATTCTTTGAGGACTAGACCAGACAGACCAGGCATTTGAGTGTAGAAGATGATCAGATTGAAGACCTTCGGGACAGGGCCCTGCAGAAGACAGTTCCCCTAAAGTTGAGAACGTCTATTATTAGCATGCAGTTAACTTTCATACATGGGGAGCTGATAGTAAATTTATTTTGTCTAACAAAGGAAGAATAAGGTTTTATATAAGAAAGAAAAAAGCAAGCAGAAAGAAAAACTCAAGAATTTAACTGAATTATATGTGACAGGCTGTCTGTGTAATGTGTGTCAGTGTCTGCTTAGTGCCTCTCATTTTTGCCAGGTTAGCACCATTTCCTTTACCGAAATCTCCCATGTCCCCCCTTTGGTTAAATTCCCAGTCTAGGTTGCCCATGAGGGTTTTACTCCTTTTCTTATTTGGTATTATTTGAATGTCATCTTGAAAGAGTGGCCAAGTGGCAGCATTTTAGCACCGGATATTTGACAGTGGAAGAGTAGCAAAGAATAAGAAGCATCTTAAGTATCATAAGAATTAAGTGAAATTCACTTCATATATCCAGTTTTTGTTTTTGTTTTTGTTTTTGTTTTGTTAAGTTTTCTTATGCCTAACCAGAAGAATTAACTCCCAAGAATCAGTTGGGTCAATTATAAGAATGAAGTCTTCTTCTCAAGTGATTGTTCTGTTCTGCGTCCCCCCTCCCCACCCCCAATATTTATCCACTTAACTAGCAATTGTACCAGTACTACTTGGCTGGCCAATAAAATAGTTGAGGACAATTTTATTATCTGACTCTGTTTTAGCCAGTGAATTTATGATTGTTGGGGGAGTGGTTTCATTTGTTTTTTGAGCCACAATCCAGGAGCTCCTGTCTTAGTTCAGGAACTCCCCAGTCAGGGTAGAAATCTCATACACAAAGTGAAATCATGTTCTTGTACCACATTTTGCGAACAGCACAAAATGATTAAAACCAAGGGGAAGAAGTGAGAGAAAGAAAAGGCAGTAAATATACAAAGTCTGTTGTCCTGTCCTTGATTCAGAGAAGTCTTGGGAGGAAGCTGTATTTTCAGGAGTCATCACTTTCTGGAGGCCTTTTAGTAGATTTGGGGTTAGTCTTCAGGCAGAACCCATATCCATTTGGATTCTGAGTACATGCAAACTGGGGAAGGTATCCATGCATCTATTCCTGATGCTTGAGAATAGTATTTCAGGGAGGAGAGTCTGAAACACTTTCTTCTAGACAGTTTGAAGCCGACTTCCACTGATGTCTCTTTCCTGTTTCTGTCTGCCTGTATATCACATGGAGATGTGTGCAGTGATGTTTCCTCTGGAAATGTAGCTTACCTGTAAGTGGGCACAAGACTTTGTATATGACATGGGTTTGACCAGTCCAGATTTCCCATGCTATCCAGAAGTTTGCATTAAGTCACTTTGCTCTTATGAAGGACCTACATTAGTACCTGTTTTTGCTAACAGAAAGACATCTGAGAATTTTTGCTTTTACAAAATGGTAATTGTTTCCTCACTTTACTCCATTTTAGCGTACAAATGTTTCACAGGAATACTCCACTTTCCAGTAGCAGGGGAGACCTGTGCTTGACAAGACCAAGATACAGCAAATTAGTGGACCATTAGTGGTAGCCAGGACAATTTTCCTAGGTCTTTCAGGAACAGTGTCATAGGGTGAGAATTTGTGGGGATTTTGAGGTGTAACTCACCTCATCATTAGGGCTAAGAATGTAGGCCAAGGAAAATAAAACTCTTTTTGGAAACTTGGACTGTTTTAGCATTGGCCTTTAAACAAAGGAAAGCTTCAATCAACAGGAGAACTACAGACACGCTATTACTAAGCATATCTAAAGTTTTTGGTTTGGCTACTAGGTCACATCTAAGTGAGAGTTCAGAGTCTTGCCCTCTATTACAGTTTTTGTTGGCTTGTGAAGCAGCCTTTTGAACTTCTCAAGTTAAATATCCTCACCAATATTTCTGTAAAGTTTGAATCAATGTACATATTTGTCTTTGTCTTTGCTGGTGGCTTTTTGTTTGTATGCACATATGTGTGTGCACATGCCTAAGTATTAAAATTTGAAGATGATTTTGAGTGGAACCAAGCCATTTTGAGATATTTAAATAAAACAAAGAGAAATACAATGACTAAGTTTCTGCCTCCCACCTCAACTTGAAAACTATATATATTATTCTGTTGTCAGTGGTGGCTAACGCTAGTAAGAGCTGCTGTTTGCATATAGGATAGTGAAGCCCCTTTCCCTAGAGTAGGGTGTAATCTTACAGTGGATGTTGCCTTCAGAAGTCTGATTCTTCTAGTAAGTCACCAATTTATGTTTAATGATTTGAGATACTCAAAGATTGAAAACTCTTATTTTCCTCATGACATAAACCCAGATCTTATTGACTATTAATATTTACTCATGAACCTCTACTAAAATAACTATTTTAGTAGAATGAGCTGTTGTAACAGAGTGTTTCATAACAATATTTAGAAGTTAAACTGTATCAGTATAAAGTATACCTTGATTATGTTAAATATATGAATCATTATTGAATGAGGATGTCTAGGATGTATCATCAGGGTAAAACAGTCAGAATGAGGCAGGTTTAGATTTATTTTGATAGTTTACTAAAATAGTTTATTTTTTTTTAAGGGAAGGGAAGTAAAGTAGCTGGGTTTAGATTGGAGCATTATTTAACAGTTATATAGGAAGCAAAGTAATATTACAGAAGTGTAGGGGTATGTTTGTCAGCTGTAACAGATAGCTAAGTTGGATGGATAAATATTAGCTGTGGGTTGAGAAAAATGTTAAGTAATGGTCTTGGAGTGAGTTTCTAAATCTCTAAAACATAACCTTGTGTTTTATATACAAGTGAGAAAGATGTAGCCTAGGTAGAAATGTCCAAGATAAAAATTGCTGTAATAACTGGCCAAGAACAAAAATGACTCATTTAGCTATTGAGACTTTTTGGTCAGCTTGGTTGAGCTAATTAAAATATGGAATATCAAATGTGGCCAATTATTTTAGAACCCCTTCTTTTTATGGTACAAGAATAAATCTTTATGTTTACCCAGTGGCCACTTAGGAAACCACAAAGATATTTCGATGTAAAAACAGTTCTTTTTTGTTTTTTTAATTTAGAGTAAGAATATAAGAAAAAGGAAAAGTCAGAACTTTTAACTTTTTTCATCATTTAAAGCATTTTACCTTTGACTTTGAAATGTAATATCAGCATATTAAGTAAAATGATATATATGTAATGTTGAATTTGTGATGTTAATAAACTGTAACAATTTCCTTAATAAGAAGGTACAATATTTATTACCTATTGTGCCTAGGGGTATAGTCTTAACTGTTTATATTAGTTATTACCTTTAGCCAAAGCAAACCAGTGTTGTTGCTTACAGACACAAGGAAAAGTAGAAGGTAGATGACCAAGAAATGTCTCCATTGCTGTCTCTCCATCAGTGCACGATATATATCCCTTCTATAATTGTTTAAAGTGGTAAACATATATATCAACATTGTCCTTCCACCAAGAAATTGAATGGTTATTTATATAGCAATAAAAACTGTTTATTGACCTGTGTTTTTATCTTTAAGAACTTACCTAATATTAAAAATTTTTTTAAGTATTTGTCTAAGATCCCAAGGTAACTAAGGTCTGGAAGTAACCGTTTATCCATCGTGGCAAGCCTGTATAATGTGTAGCTTTAGAATAATTAATCTTTTATTATATTATTTACTTTGAATACATAATTTTACAATTTTATAGTCTCCAATGCAGTGATACTCTTTGATCAATAAAACCAGTAGAGGGGATTTAGGAAGTGCTAAATGAGTAAGCTTTTCCTGGGACTCATATAAACTAGAATATAGTGCTAGGAGTTTTGCATGATGGTAAAATCTGAGGGAAGACAGCAGTTTTAAACTAAAATTGCTAAAGCAGTCTAATTTGTTAAAGGGTCATCTTGATTAGAAATATATGAATTTTTTCTTATGTAATTACGCTAGTAATGGAGGCCATTAATTCAACCCATGGCTGAAATACGTTCCCCTTGAGTTACAATGTTAGCAATAAAAACATTGTTAAAACTTAAAAAGTAGAAATTAAAGATAAAAACTTTTTTTTCTTAATTTGTAATTTTGTAAGTGTTAATACTTTAATACTGTTTCTAGAAGCCAGTTGGAAACAGAAGGTCATTTTACTACATACTGGTATGTTTGTAATCTGATTTACTCCCTCTGGAGGTAGAGGTTTATCTTATCTATTTGCCGGGCTCCTGGGTGGCTCAGTCGTTAAGTGTCTGCCTTCGCCTCAGGTCATGATCCCAGGGTCCTGGGATCGAGTCCCACATCGGGTTCCCTCCTCGGCGGGAAGCCTGCTCTCCCTCTCCCACTCCCGCTGCTTGTGTTCCTGCTCTCGCTATCTCTGTCTCTGTCAAATAAATAAATAAATAAATAAATAATCTTTATCTATTTGCCAAAAAAATCATTAATAAAACAGAAAAGTTACAGTTTAGAAGCTAGCAAATCTAAGGTAGGAAAGAGACACTGGTATTTATTAAGGATGTAATAGGTAAGGTAAAAAATTTGAAAATATATTTTTTTTTATGGGGGGCAGGGGCAGAAGGAGAGGGAGAGAGCGAATCCCAGGCAGGCTCTGTGCCTAGCGCGAAGCCCGACGCGGGGCTGTATCCCACAACCCCCCCCACCCCCGCCCCGAGATCATTACCCGAGCTGAAATCAAGAGTCACTTGCTTTACTGAGTCACTCAGGCACCCTGCAGATATTTCTTGTTGCAATGTCTGAAAGAATACACAGATCTTGGCTCAACTTACTTAGTAGTTACTGTTTATTCTGCTCCCTGTGCAAAACCATGCATGCTGCATGGTGATGTAAGGGAACCCTGATAGGAACATATGTCAGATATTATGAGAACTCTGTGTGTAACAGGTCCTTCTTATCAGTTGTGATGTTGTTTGTCATTTTCTTGTTCTCCTAAAGGAAATCAGCCGTTTGGCATGACCTCATTAATGATTGTTTCTGACCATTTTAGCGATTTGCTGCTGTAATCATGAGAATAAGAGAGCCCCGAACCACTGCACTGATATTCAGTTCTGGGAAAATGGTGTGCACAGGAGCCAAGAGGTAGGTTTAAGGAGTTTATTCTCCTGGTCATATATTATTATGATTATTCAGTTGCATTTTATGTATGTTTGATGAAATGTAACATCCAAGCTATTACTAAGGATCCCTTTATGTAAAAAATTCTACATATAGCACAAATTCATCCCCAAGTGAAAAAAAAAATTGGTCAGGAATCACAGAATTTCAGAGCTGATGGTGTGAGAGTGTACAGATCTGCTTGGTCCTGGCAGTGGGACAGTACCATGTGTGTTGGTTACGGATGCCTGCTGCCCCTTGTTGTAAATAGTCTGCCTCATGAGGGTCAGGGTTATGCAGGTCTTAAGGATTGTACCCTTTTCATAAAATGGCTGTTGCCTACATTCTGCATCTGTTTGGAGTGATCCGGTCTATGAAGGTTAACGCTCTGGATCCTTGACTTTAAACCTTGTCTAACGGACTCCATGTAATTGGTAGAAGGCAAAGGTTGGGGAAAGAGTAGATATATCAGCTTCATAAAGCTTGAACAAATGAAGTAAATTAAACTTTTAAAATAAAAGATAATTCATATGACTTGGAGTTGTCCACACACGGGGCGGGGCGGGGGGCGCTGTGGATGCTTTTGCTTATTGGATGAAGGGAAGGCTATTGTAGATATTGTGGTTCCCAGTCTCTGAGTTTTTTTCAGAAGGCAAGATGTGGGTCTATCCCTGGCTTTCACATAAGTCTTCATTTAGGAGACTTGCTTGTTTCCCCTGGATGGAGCATCGAAAGCTTCTGGTTTATCAATAAATGCTAGATGGTTTTTTCTTTCCCAGACATGCTTTTCTTTCTTTTTTTATTATTTTTTTAAAGATTTTTATTTATTTATTTGACAGAGAGAGACAAAGCAAGAGAGGGAACACAAGTAGGGGGAGTGGGAGAGGGAGAAGCAGGCTCCTTGCTGAGCAGGGAGCCCGATGCGGGGCTTGATCCCAGGACCCCAGGATCATGACCTGAGCTGAAGGCAGATGCCCAATCTGCCGCCCAGGTGCCCCCCAGACGTGCTTTTCATGTGCACTGTTTAGCTCTCTTTGTCCATTTGCTACACACTGAATAGTGTGTATCTAGTTTATATCAAAATAGGAAGCTGCAAATAAATTTATTGTCCTCAAGAAAAAAAAAATCATTGCATGTATGTATGCTTAATTTTTGTCATTCCTGATCCCTGCACTTGAGAGTCTTTTGTTCATGATGGTTTTATTGCTTTTATTTTGCTTTTCTTACATAAGCTCTGTATTACTAAACCATAGTTTTATCTAACTGATGAGTTATAAGAATGGATGAGAGATTTGACGTAAAAGAGGACAGAATTAGTATATGCATTAGACAAGTATAAATCTCATCACTATTTTCCTATCAAAATGAAGTTGTTAGTTGTTAGTTTTCATCTCAGGATTGTGGGCTAAAATACAGTAATAGTAATGATAGTGGTGATGATGAGATACTCCACTTTTGTAAAACCTGGGCATATCAGTAATTTGGTGCAGGCCTGTAGTTTTCTGTCAAGGACATAGGAGTACTTTATAATAAAATAGTTAATGTCTTTTGTTCTTTTCTCTTACTGGAAGGGGGGTGACATTTTGTACTTTTTTAAAAAATAACTTTTCTAGTTTTGACTTTTTATAAAGTTACTCATCTGAATAATTATTTTAGGTGGCTTTGACTACGACTATCTGACTTTTTCCTTTCCCTAGTGAAGAACAGTCCAGACTAGCAGCAAGGAAATATGCCAGAGTTGTACAGAAGTTAGGTTTTCCAGCAAAGTTCTTGGACTTCAAGATTCAGAACATGGTGGGGAGCTGTGATGTGAAGTTCCCTATAAGGTTAGAAGGCCTTGTGCTGACCCACCAACAGTTTAGCAGGTGAGTCTGAAATGTATTGCCTGTGGTAACAGTTCATTTATGATCTGTGTAAACATTGTTCATGATAAAACATGTGCAAAACAGTATGTAAGCGCAAATGATGTAGTGACAGATGTATTTAATGTTGAAGTTTCTCCCTTATGTCTTGGAAAATATATTATTCTCACCATTCTCCTACTTCCCATTTCACTTATTGACATCTATAACTCACCTTGACTGGGATGAAATTGATACCCTGTTATTTTACTGCTCAATAAATGCATTTTAAATGCATGAATTAAATCCACAACCTCACCTATCAATTTTTATCCCCAGTTTTTTTAATTATTTCTTCTAGTGAACATTATATGAGCTCTACCTGCAAAGTATAAACTTGAGTGAAATGAATATTCTTTCCTCTTCTTTTCCCTGCCACTTACAAGGCCACTGCCCACCTCTCCAGCCTTTCTGCTCCCTGCACCCCTCAGATTTGCCTGGCCCCTCTTGGGCCAAGGCTTTTGTATAGCCCAGTTTTGTTTTGTTTTGTTTTGTTTTTTAAGATTTTATTTATTTGACAGAGACACAGCGAGAGAGGGAACACAAGAAGTGGGGGTGGGAGAGGGAGAAGCAGGCTTCCCGCCAAGCAGGGAGCCTGATGTGGGGCTCGATCCCAGAACCCTGGGACCATGACCCGAGCCGAAGGTAGATGCCTAACGACTGAGCCACCCAGGCGCCCCTAGTATATCCCAGTTTTATACCTGGCACCCTCTTGTTCCACTTTTCACCTAGGAAACTTCCACTTGCATTTCAGATGTCCACCCAAGTGTACCTTCCTCAGAGAAGCCTGTCCTGCATTTCCCACTAGGTTAATCACACATATCGTAACTGGTTCAGTCTGTCTGAACTGGGGAAATGAGGCTGCTGGGGTTCGAATCAGACTTGCCACTCACGACCCTTGATAAGGGTCAGACACTGCAGAGTATTAATCTAAAGGTCTCGTTTTTACAGCAGAAAATCCAGACTCATTAGAAATATAGAGTTTGTTAGTCTTTAAGTACTGATGACAGGTTGCCCTCACTGTCCTTAAGTTCTCTCTCCTTTGGGTTCACCTCCCAGTGAGTTTGTGGTTTAGTCAGTATTTTCCCTGTGCAGGTCCTCATTTTACCTAAAGCATGGGCAGATTTTAATTTCTAAACTGTTTTTGCCATTTTCCTCCTAGTTACGAGCCAGAGTTATTTCCTGGTTTAATCTACAGAATGATCAAACCCAGAATTGTTCTTCTTATTTTTGTTTCTGGAAAAGTTGTATTAACAGGTAAGTTGTAACAGGAAGTAGTGTCCGAAGGTTTGAAAGAGTTTCAAGAACAGCATTTTCTCAGTGCTGAGAAGTAATTTCAAAGACTGGGGACAGGTAGCTAGCAAGTGAGATGCCTTTGCCCCTTTCTTCTCCTCCACCCTAACACTCTGATGAGAAACATATCCACCAGGGGGAGTGAGAGCAGGGAAATCAGACCACAGCAAGACCTGTAGTGGGGAGAGCAGGGAAGGTGGCCATTACATTGGTTAAGAGATGGCATTTTAAGGTGGAAACCCTTCTGTAACTCTGAGATTCATCAGCAGTGCCGTTTGGAGACAATAGGGGAAGGTTCAGAAGAGCTTGCTTAAAGGCAGCAAGTGGGAGAATAATGGATGAGAATTGTGCTTATGGTTTTAAAGTAATTTTGTTTTAAAGTAATTTTACCTCTTTAACATGTTAAGAAAAGCTATTTCAGACTCTCTTCTCCGACTTGTCTTTATTAGGTGCTAAAGTCAGAGCAGAAATTTATGAAGCATTTGAAAATATCTACCCTATTCTAAAGGGTTTCAGGAAGACGACATAATGGCTGTTATGTACTCCTGCCTCTGCACCCACTTGTTTTTAAAACAAATCAGTTTTGGTACATTTAAATGGTGGTGTTGTGGATGGCCCCGATTTGGTGAGAAGATGGATGTTCTGTGGGTTGTAGCAGCCGGTGAAGCTCTCCAGCGTGCGTTCCCCGTAGGGATGCCGGGAAGCGGTCTTACTTCTGCACGGAGAACTCACAGCGCTGTGTAAGTTGCTCGTACTGTGCTCCTGTTTGTGCAGCGCTGCCCGTTTATTTATATTTAGATTTTAAACACATACTGCTGTCAGCAAGTTGGTTTGAGGTACAAAACTTCAAGTGTTAAAGCCACCTCTGCAATTGATTGGACTTTTTCTTTTGTTTAATTTCTTCCCCATAAACCACAGTTTTTATATTTCTACCAGAAAAGTAAAAATCTTTTTTAAAAGTGTTGTTTTTCTAATTCGTGACTCCTAGGGGTTATTTTTGTGCCAGACACATTCCGCCTTTTCAGTATTGCAGGACAAAGTAGCCGTATTAATGAGAACGAATGGCTGTACATATTTTTCTTCCTTCAGAGTACTCTGTACAATAAATGCTGTTTATAAAATTGTTAGATGGATGTTATAAATGATACCTTGTAAGATTTGTGTGATCATACTGTTAAAGCTGTATTTTAGATATAATTGCCTGGAACCATTTCAGTGTGTGCTTGCTTGCTCGTTGTTTGTTTGAATCAACATTGCATTGTATGTCGCAGTGATAATGGATAACTACCTGAAAATTTAAGGTTGCTCATGAAACATGGATTTATTATGTTCCATATATCGAGCACCTCCTGTTTCCCAGATACATTGCCTGTAATTCTCACAAAACCTATAATTCGGTTTTGTTCCTCTTTCCCAGGTGAGCAAACTCCGGCCTCAGCTGCGGTATTTGCCCCAGGGTACATAGCTAGGGAACGCAAAACCAGGCTCTCGGCCAGAGTCCTTCAGTATTAAAGCTGGGTATGTGTACAGCCTGGTGAGGTGTTTGTTTTTCTCATGAATATTACCTGGAAATTTGTAAGTTCTTGGATTTTATTGTTTGGGTTAATTTGTCAAAGTATATTTTCAAGCAGTTCAGAAGCACATAATCAGAAAGGAAGAGTTCTTTCCTTCTCTCCCTTCTGCTTACTTCCCCAGGTATCCCCCAAGCCCCGTTCTGTGCAGCTTCTTTCCTTCTGGGCTGCTTTTGATCCCAAATTTAGAAAATACTAAAGCATTTTATATTTTATAGCTTTGCTTTTATTTTCAGTCAGTATGTCGTGGAGTCTGATAGCATCACAGATGTACAACATCTTTTACGTACCTTTATGTATTCACCTGTTTCCTTAATTATCAGCAGTGTTTCAGCTGTAGGAAGCACCCTTATATGCCTGTTTGTGGTTCAGTGCAGACATTTCTGTAGTGAACATGCCTAGGAGAGGAGCCACTGCCATCCATCGGTCCAATATTATCTCCTTCCATCTGAAAAAGAAGTATCTTTCCACATGTAGGTCTTCTCTTAGTCAAGTTTTATAATTTTTTTCACATAGGGCTTATACATTTCATAAAAGTTAATTCCTAAGTGTTCTCTGGTTCCTGGTATTAATGTAATTTTTCATTACCTTTCAAGTCTTATTGACATATTTATCTTATTCCCAATCGCTTTACGGAATTCTGAGGCTTTCCCCTGTGAAACGGTACACACAGAAAACCTAACAAAACAAATATTTAGCAGAGTGTATTACTCAGTAGACATCTGCAACCATCACTCAGAACCTTGCCCGTGTCCCAGGGGCCTCTCCTTCTAGTGCAGCCACAACACCCCCGGACCAATAACCATGATCTTGAACTTTGTAGTCATTTTATAGTCATTACCTAAATTACTAATATGGGTTATTCTTCCATTTAAAAAAAAAAGTTGCTTTTCTGCCTGTCTTACTCCTTATATTCCCCCTCCCTGTCTTTTCCTTAAAATGTTAGGCCAAATTTACAGCTGGTAGTTTCTTACAGTATGTGTTTTGCTATTTTCAAACTCATGGTGTAGTTCAGCATGTTCCTGTGTTCGATTTCCTGCAAATGAGCAGCTACATCCAGAGGCTTCTCATTGATCTGTGAATTCATTAGTGGGTTGCAAATGATGAAATTCTACTTATTTTCCAGTCGTTCATTGGAATACTTTTATAAAGTGATACGCTTCATATAGCAGGATAAATGCTGCTTTCCCTTTGAAAGTTTTCGAGATTAAATACCTCATGAGTTCACATTGATATATCCAATTCAAATTCAAGACTACGGGGGTTTCATTTAATCACTTATTTTTTTTACACCGAGAATCCTTAATTTTTAGACACACGGAATGATGTTAGAAAATCCCATGGTCATTTACTTAATCTTACGTTATACATGCAACAGTCTTAGATTGCATTAACACCAAGGTGATTATCAAAAGCACTTAAACATACTTATTTTGCTGTTATCTCTGAATTGTCAAGGGATGATGAGACCAGCGTTCGTGTCTAATAAAAGGAGGGGTGAGCAGTCGGGTCAGGCAGCGTCTGAGCCAAACAGAAGTTTTGGTGGAGTACGTGGATGGGCAATAGTGAATGACATCCTCTACAGGAAGTTACTGGGTGAGACATGATCATTTTAGGATGTTTTTAAATGCATCTTGGCATTTCCAGAAGTAACTGAGTTGCTCAATGTTTTTATGTAAATTTTTGGTTTTAGGTTATTTTTATTTTGTATTATTTTTCATATGATGGATTATTTTTCAACATGGATGCTAGTTGACATTGTGACATTTTCTTTCTGTTGATTTGGACTAGTCTGTAAGTGGAAAGACCCTGTGAACCCTCACCCCAATTGCCAGAACTTGGTAGGGATACATACCTAAAGGATAGCTTGGCTGGTTATTCCCAACATACCTGCAAGAATGTCCACAATCATCTGGTGATGTCTCCAAACAGACCCTAATGGGTTTGCTTAAAGTCCTTAGCAGTCAGGGCACTATTCTGCTTTGGAAAACTTACTATAACATCTCCTGACTTTAAGAATCATTTACAATTGGCAATGTGAAGACCCCACACTAGTCCAGTTTTCTAGAAGCCACTGAGCTTCCTACCAAGTGTTGATTCTTGCCACCAGATGATGACAACTTATAATGTGTCCTCCAGTAGCAATGGGCTGTATCACCATAGTTGTAGGTCATTCTCAGACTTCACTCTCGCAGCTTGAAAACTGTGACACTATCCTCCCTCTTTACAGGTTGTATTTAAAAGTAGCCTAGTAACAAATCTCCCCGTCAGAATTCCATACTGGTTTCCCATATAGAGCTATGTTTCACTGTATTTCATACACATATCTCTATGAATAACATATATACCTATAATGTGGGCTAATAGACCAGGACTTTCTCATAAAAATGTAGTAAAATAACCAGGTAGTCAGTGACATTAATAATGGTGTTATATGCAAGAAAGATGCCCTTATGGGAGAACATGAGCCAACTTGGATTAGCTGTTGGTTTTTAAGCACTGATCAACAGCAGTGTCCCTTCAGGCCTCCTTCAGTGCTGGGCAGGCGTCACTGGTGTTGAAAGAACTGGGAACTGTCACAGCGTAATCGTGAAACACTAGGGGCTGGAAGGAGCCTTAGCACGGTTAACAGATTTAGCTGACCTCAGGGCCAGATTTCCCTAGGGAAATTCTAATGGCCAATTCCTGCCTCCTTACTTGGGTTTACTCCCCATGTGTACACTGGCATGAGATGGGGGGCGGGGGAGAGAGAAAGACCATCATTCTTGCCTTGCATCTCTCATCTGTGAGCAGTGCTATTGGCAGATCAAGGTCAGTTGTGAAGTAGAGCTTCTCTTCGAAGTCAGTTATTCATCACATTCACCAGCCTACTGGGGTTTTGTATTTTTCCAGTGTTCTGGACTTCCATGTGTCTTAGAGCCCATGACAATGACCTGATTACCAGTCACGTCTCTTTGGGTTTTACCCAAATAGTTTTCTCTTGGTTTTAACATTGCAAATGTTAGGAGGAAAAATGCTCTGAGTAATGGATTGTCTTAATGAGGAAATCAACCCATTTTTATTGTAGAAAGAAACAAACACATAGGTAAAACGATCATTTCATAGTCCCACCATCCATAGTTAACTAGTTCCCACCGAGTAGGTATCTTTCCAGATTTCTGTTGACATACATATGTATAAATACTTTTACAAAAATATGAACATACTATGAATATCTTGGTGTCAGTTTAAACCTGTATCTTGTACATATAGGTTTATATCATTAAGAGTGCATTACCTTCTGCTGTAGGAATTCACCAAAATTTCTTTAAATACCTGGTCACCAGACAATTTTTGTTGCACTAATATTTACACATTGTAAACTCACCTAAAACAACGTCTTTGTACCTTTGTCTCTGCTATAATTATTTCCTTAGGATAAAGTCCTAGAAATGGACTTGCAAGGTCTAAGAGATTATGAGCATTTTTAAGGCTTTACAACATTGTCTTTAGGGTGTATTTGTTATATCTTGCTTCCAAACAAATTCCTCTGTGTAGCCAATCCCCAGTCTACAGCTTTCAGCACAGGTGAAGACAGCCAGGACACCCCAGTCGACACTCCTGCCCAGTCTGTCGGCCTTTAGGTGGTTGAGCAGCTGAGGCATGACCTGAGAAGAGGATGACAGAATTAGAGCCCTGCGCTGAGGCAGGGAGCACTGTCCGCTTTCAACAGACCTTCCTTGCCAGGGCGATTGCAGGGACCCCGGTCTTTTAATCTCCAGCTTTGACACTAAGAACCAATTACTGTTGGATATAGTCTTCACAATTCCTTTTTTTTACCCTCAGCAACAAGTATTACCTACCACTCTGTAAGGTTAGCAAATCCACAGTTCAAGAACATCTCTACCCAACCCAAATGGATTGTGATCCTAACAATTCCTTTTGAAAAACCATTTCTCTTAATGATTATATCCATCTGTTTTCCTAACAAATCCACAAACTAAGACCAAACCTCACTAAGGCCTCTAAAACGCTCCTGTCACAAAGTACAAAGACCTTAATTGCCATAACAAGAAAAGAAAGAGTATTTAAAATTACAAGGTAATAAAATGCAGACACTAAAAATAACGATGTAACCACCCTGGGAGGTGGGAAGATGGTCCAGATGGTATAAGAAACTACATTTAAATCCTCATTATTGCACGTGCCAGTCAATGGATAAGGTCTAAAAACTAGTAAACTGACAAGTTACCAGAAAAAGCATGTTATTTAGAGAACTACCAGATAAAACTGTAGACCGTTCCCTCCAGGGAATAAGCTCTTAGGTGGGACAAGGCACTTTCTGTAGTAACAACAGGACCCATGTGCATATATTACTTCGGTAAAGTTTTGGAGCATTTAATAACATAACTTAGGGTGATTACACATATTAAAATACTCATTTAAGGTCATACCTGGAATTCAAATGTTCTCTTGGCACCACAGGGGCAATATGGAATATCCTTTTCTTGAGGGATATTTTCACCAGAGATCCAGATGGGTGCAATCCCTCTGCCGTATCTGAGAACCTAAAATCAACCAGGACCATGTGCAAATCACCCACATCTCACCTAAATTTCCAGTGGTAGCACGTGATTGGATAATAATCTGGAGAGCCTTGATGGAACACTCATCCGAAACACAGTTTATACTGTTCCCCCCCAACTCAGACCTGGCACCGTTAATGCTTTTTCAGTGTCATCAAATCAGTTATTTTAGCTTATCTGACTCAGGATATCAAAATCCTATTTCATACATGGTAATATGGTTAGAATCTGAATCCTAGGGAGTATTTTGTGAGGGTCCCACTATACTCCTGTTTCTCCATTACCAGTTTCTAAATCCAAAATGCAGCCCAGAGTCTGTGCTTACTTTCACAGATAAAAGGAACCTCAGTTAGGGACCAAGGGTGTCTGGGTGGCTCAGTCGGGTTATGCGCCCAAATCTTGGTTTCAGCTCAGGTCATGGTCTCAGGGCCATGAGATGGAGCCTCCACACACTGCATAGAGTCTGCTTGTCCCTCTCCCTGTCTCCCTCCCCCTGCTCAGGCATGCATGCACGCTCTAATAATAAAATCTTAAAATTAAAAAAAAAAACTCTTCCTTTGCTCCCCCGCCCCCACTTGTGGGCGCTCTCATATATTATTTTCATTTTAAAGAATTTTAAAGGGACAAATACCAAGTAATACACAGTTGTTTAGATAAATACTACAGAGATAAATCATCAACAGAGTGGCTTTCCTATGTTTTGTTAAAAGCATATGCATTGCTAAAAACTACCTTCACAGTGTTTAGGACCTAGGTCTATTCTTAAAATATTCTTCTCCTGGATATTTATTTGACTCAGTGACTGCTTTATAGGAGTTGAGCTGAACTTTCTTGAGTGATTTAGGTTTACGGTGAATGTCTTTAAGGGGAATGATATTAACAGAAGAACAGGGATGAAGAAGGGAAACATTTGCTGAGCAGTTATTATGTACCTACATTCTTCCTTCATCCTCACAACTGACCTCTAATTTTTTCACATTGTAGATGCAATTACCTCAGAGCACTTCGTTTAACTCTAGGATCCAGGCTTCTTCCCAACCCCAAAGCCCATTTTTTTTTCACAAAACCAGTGTCTGTGTTAACATGTCATGTTGGTTTTACAAGCAAAAGGTTCCTATTGGATAAATGGGCAAAAATATCTGTTCCTTTCTTTCTGCCACTGGTGCAAACTTCCTGTATTACAGGCAACATCTTACTCATCTGTCTCGGATGCCTTCTTTAAAATACAGACCCTACGTGATAAACAGTATAACCTGTAGTTTTTCAATAACTACTGACAGGATCAGCAGCCTATCTGTGTGAAGGACTCCTATAACGAGACTAGCTTTATAGTAGTTACTTCTCACGGACTGTACCCCAAAACCACCACCTGAAAAGAACACAAGAAGGAGTTGCAGGAGTTCTAGTTTACCTGTTCTGGCTCAAGGGCTATTTTAGTTTTAAACTTCTGGAAAATTTTATCTTCCTTGGATTCAAGTTTTGCCATGGAATCCAATTCTTCCTCAGGTGCTTCACCTGAAAAATATCAACACAACCATTACAGCAATAGGACTAGTCCCCATGACTTGACATTTCCTACATGCTGAGGGCAGGACATTTCAAATAACCAACTTAATGTTAAATCAGATAGTGAAAGCCAGATGTTCCCAAAGGCTTTCCCTATTTTAATTCATTATAGTGTTTCAAGACCATCTGATTTTCCAGGTACCCCACTTTACTGGACAGGTTCCTAGTGAGTGCTTCTCTTTAAATCTTCAAATGAAAAGAACAGACCCAAGTCCTGGGTTTAAGACTTGTGCCCGGTAGATGACAGGACACCCAACAAATGCTGAACCTTTTATTTTCACTACTGCCCTTAAGCTGCCTGGGACTGCCCTGGTTCTTCATGTCTCACACATGTCTTTTCCCAGCTGGTACACTCATTCAGCCATCACTCACTCACTGTGGACCTACCAGCTTGTTCTCTGCACACTCCTGCACACTCCTCTCCTGGAATCCCAGCTGTCTGAACCCCTGCTGTTCGCAACAGGATTTAGTCTGTGTTACATGTACCAAAGTATATTTTTGATATCACCTGAATATGAACTATAAACCAGTAAGCTGATACTGTAAAGTCTGATTTAGACTCTAAAACACAATTTTGTGGTAGTTAAGAGTTCAAATTCTGGAGTCAACAACATGGGAGCTCAAACTGCAGTTCTAAAACTTTACCAACTTTGGTTACATGACCAAACAAGTTACCCAGAAAACCTCAAATTCCTCACTTCAAAATGAGGTACAGTTTCTAACTCACTGTACTGCCTTCAGGATTTCAATGAGATCATGCACACATAGCCCTTGATGCAGAATAAGTGCTGGATAAATGTTGGCTACTAATCCTTCGCTTAGCTATCTGGCAGGCCTAGGCACTACATTAGCGTACCATCATCTAGATAACCTGTAAAATTGGGTATCTGAAATTAGCTGATGAAACATTTAAAGGGCCCCTGTCACCCGCCAAACACTATGCTAAGGGTCTCACATATTCTATATTGATCTGAGAAACAGATCTTGGATCTAGATGAACTTACCAAGTTTCCAGCATCCTGTGGAGGAGCCCTACCCAAATGACCACCTGGATACTTACCCTGACATGTCTTCATCAGAACCAGAATCTATCTGATATATATGCCACGGAGGAGAGGTACAGGAAGGATACTGTCAAATGACAGTGTTTGAAAATCATAGGCTACAGACTCCAAAGTGAGTTGACTTCCTGTCAGTACCTACCTCTCTTTTTGACATACTGAGCCTTCTCTTTCCAGCACTGTATTTAATCACTTAATGAATAAAGTTCTAAAAGTGACTCCTTACCCATGCTCCCTGTAATTTCTGATTCATTTTCTTTTTCAACAACTTCAGATGTAATTTCATCTTCTGTTTCTATTACAATTTCAAATTCTGGAAAAAGGAAGCTGTGGTCTGGAATTGTTCCATCCAAATAATCTGAAACAAGAAAAGGTAACTAGCATCACTACTAATCCTTTAGGTTTAAAAAGGATCCAATAATTTCCCATTTCTAAGCTATATTCTATGCAGTAACCCTAGTAAATTAATACACGTGGTTCCAGCAATTTAGGTCATAAATTAAACATCAAAATTAAAGCAAGTCTGGGGCATATCTGAGCAGGCAAGACCTCACAGCTCCTCTTTCATAGAGGTGTTCATGTTACCAGTTACTAAAATTTTGAGAAGTATAATACCTTCTCTAATCTTAACTTTTATCCTCAAAGCAAAAAACTTGGGTTGACAGATGCTTTGAAACTGAGCTAAGACTTAAAAAGAGTTGACTCACCCGATTGTGTACAAGCCTGCTTATGCCCAAATCTCCAGTCTAGAGTCTGATGCTCCTTACTGCAGTAATGTGCCTTGTGACATCTGGAGCATGTTTTGGGGCCTAAACAGCCGCAGACCCTGCAGAGATGAGCACCAGACTTGAGCTGGAGGCACACAGACTCTCCCGTCTCTGGAGGATCCTCACAAGGTGGCTCATAGGAGTAAAAGTCATTTTTCCTGGGCAGCTGATTTCTAAAAACTAAGAGAAAATGAGAAACGTTGTAAATATCGTAAATAATACAGCAATCCAAATAT